CGTAATTATAGGTCGTATTAAGCGCTTGAACAAACGACATATTTGGTCGTAATAAGGGCTTAAACAATCGACCCATTTGGTCGTATGAGTTGGAGGACTTGTTGGATAGTAATATCTTGAAAACTGCATTTATATAAAGTGACACTGGAAGAAATCTGATTAATTTTCACAAATGCATCTGAGAGAGGACAATATTAAGACACGACACAAGAGCCAGATATAAAAGTTTATTAAGGTACACAATTGTGTTGCTATTAAGGCAAGGCAAGTTTATTTATATAGCACTTTTCAACACAAGGCAATTCAAAGTGCTTTACAACAAATGAAAGACATTAAGAAAATGGCATTTAAAATCAGTCATTAAAAAGAAAAGCTAATAAAATAAACATTAAAAGAAAAAGTACATGGATAAAAGTTACAGTGCAGTCTAAGATATGAATAGTTCAATTAAAAGCAGCGACAAAAAGAAAAGTCTTCAGCCTGGATTTAAAAGTAGTCAGAGTTGCAGCGGACCTGCAGGTTTCTGGGAGTTTGTTCCAGATATTTGGAGCATAATAACTGAACGCTGCTTCTCCATGTTTAGTTCTGACTCTGGGGACAGAAAGCTGACCAGTCCCTGAAGACCTGAGAGATCTGGATGCTTCATAATTTAGCAGGAGGTCAGAAATGTATTTTGGGCCTAAACCATTCAGTGCTTTATAAACCAGCAGCAGTATTTAGAAATCTATTCTTTGACACACAGGAAGCCAGTGTAAAGACTTCAGAACAGGAGTGATGTGATCCACTTTCTTAGTGTTAGTGAGGACTCGAGCAGCGGCGTTCTGAATCAGCTGAAGCTTTCTAATAGATTTTTTAGTGAGACCTGTGAAGACACCATTGCAGTAGTCGAGTCTACTGAAGATAAAAGCATGGACACGTTTTTCCAGATCCTGCTGTGACATTAGTCTTTTAATCCTAGATATGTTCTTTAGGTGATAGTAGGCTGAAAGCGTCTTTGGGTTCAAGAAAAGCGTTATAGAAATAAAATGTATTATTCTTATTATTAGGCTGATTTAAAGGATTCAAGGTTTTGCTTCTACCTAATACTCAGTATCAGGAGTGTAATGGATGGGATTTCTAACAGGTTGGAGATCTTTGATTTCGAAGCTCTTCTCCACTTTAGCAGTGAGATAACACAAATTTAACAAGCAGCACAATTCAAACTAGGATAAATCAACATGTAACTGCTGGCATTGCACCCACGACCTTCTGACTCAAAGACAGCTCTTCCTCTTAGCCACAGACTATTATGGGATGTCCAGCTCGCTGGACTCAGATCTCTAGATACCTCATCACTCCTCCGCTGCTCCGATACAAGTCCGGGGCCCTTTCTCATTTCATCAAATCCCCCTCCTCGACTCCACGGTCCTCCGGTAGTGACCCGGAAATTAATTTTGGCGCGCCATGTTGAAGGACATCTCATTTCTCTAAATGCACTTCGAGGACCGAGGATCGAGCGTCGAGGAGGCTCTCTGGAGGAGCTCTAACCGAGGAGACACTGATGGGTCCTCCACGGTCCTCTTACTTATCTCAGCCAATGACAGCTCTGCATGCATCCCCTGGATATTATTTTATTAACTGCTCGCGACGCGATGTTTACAGAGAGAACAGCTGTGAGGTCCGTGCAGAAAGCAGAGCAGTTTGTATAATATATATCACTCAGTAGAACAGGCCAACTCTCTGTATTTGCTTTAGTTTACTAGATAACTACAAACAAAGAGTCGATATTTTTCCAAAACCATTTAGTGCTTCACAAAATAAAATACACAACGGCTGATATGCTTTAGGAGCTGTAGGTGTGTGTTGTACAGTGCGTAGATGCGGCGGACAGACAGGTCTCAGTTGGTTTGGTGTCCTCTGCTTACTTGTAATACTTGTAAATAAAACTTTTGGCCCGTAATTTATTTCCCTCATTGTAGCGACCAGAGAGGGGGGGGGGGGGGGGGGGGGGGGGGGGGGGGGGGGGGGGGGGGGGGGTGTTACGTTATTATGAGAGTGCTCTGTTTGATTCTGAAATTGTATATATTTATATAAATATATATATATATGTGTGTGTGTGTCCCCTCATCTGTAGCCTGTTATTGTCTCATTACACCGCACTGTGAATGAATCAAAGTAAATATAGAAGTGGTCATGAACACATCTGTCCATCAGACAGAGGGCTGTGCCTCCTGTCATCATTAATGGACGTGTCTTTAAAATGACCGCTCAGAGGAGAGGAGTTCTCATTTCCTCTAACCGCCTGCTGCTTCCCCTCCTCTCTCCTCGGCTCCCCTCCTCGACTCCTCCGTTCGCATCTCCTGTGGGCGGGACTAAGTCTTGAGGATAGGAGTCGAGGAGGGGAGTCGAGGAGGGGAGTTAGAGAAATGAGAAAGGGCCCCGGCTGCGGAGGTTTGTTGATACGTCTCGTCTTCTTCTGTTTGCTTTAATCGAGGCTACGTAGTTATGCAGCGCCCCCATCGTCAGTAAGTCGTGGAAGTAAAGAATCCCTTTAAGTGCAGTTATTTCACAAGTTTAGTTATGTACACAGCTCGGAAAAAATTACCGAGGTCTGGACCTCGGTGACCTCAATGGTGGATACGGCCCTGGTTCCCAGTACTTTGTCCCGCCGAACTCTTTAGTCCCAGAACTTTCTAGTAAATCGCATTCTCACCGGAATAAGTCCCTGAGGGAGGATTACGCAAATGAAGCCGCTGACATCTCTTCTTCTTCTTCTGCTTTGGGTTTACTGGCAGGCCGCAAACCACTTCACGGCGTATCCTCATCTCCACCGCTCCCACGTTTTATTTTGTGTTCCCATAAATTAGTCTCTCTCCGTTGGTGCGCTGGGCTAATGCTAATAATGCTAATGCGAGCAAATAAAATGGCGGCTTCACAAAACTTTTCGGAGGGTTACGGGCCGTGGTTTGCAATTCGCCCAGCCAATCAGAGATTGGAACCTTTTCTCGCCAGGAAAGTACCACCTCTCTAGCAGGCACTAACAAGGGGTGAAAAGTTTCCCGAGAACTAAGTTCTAGTTCCAGATCTTTTTGGTGTGAAAGCAAAATCTCAAGAACTATCGGAACTATTCCTGGGAAAAGCACTCCGGTGTGAAAGCGCCTCTTGTTTTTCTGAATACATGTAAGAAATTGGACTGTGATGAGTTTCAACAAATGTTTTTATAATATCTCCTCTGTCAAGTCCTCTCCTCCTCATGTCAAAGTGTACAATATTTAAAATGTCATGAAAGAAATGTTTTGCATTGTAACAGACAAATACTTAAAAGGTAAAATACCATTGAACAGATTATAAAGCTCGAAGGTAGCTTTTAATGTAAGAGATGTTAATGCAATATGTGTGTATGACTTAATGGTAAATGGATGTTTTCCAACCTGAGGGTCAGTGGTTCAACTCCCAGCATGCTCTATTGTTTTGCTATTTACCTCACTGAGCCAAGCCCCCAGGAAGTGCGCCGGACTCTGTGCCCAATATTCGTTGTGTCCAAACGGCGGTACTGCAACTTCCGTATCAGTCCGTGACGTCACCCGGCCCAAAAATACTTTTTCCCATTGACTAACATGGGGAAAGAGACGTCTGTAAATCGCTGGATTATTTTTTAAAGTAAATAAACTACGAACAATTGTATAGCCCTTAATAAAATCATTCGGTCCTTAAAGTTGTAAAATGCACTAAAAGCCGAATCTAGATTTATTTTCTCTCTCCATTCATTCTAGTGAGCCGAGAGTGGGAGCTTGGGGGGCGGGGCTTAATGTCAGGAGGCGGGGCTTAAGGGGCGCATGCTCTATGAGCGCACATACGGGTACTTCTGCTCTGACAGCCAGACATGACGGGTAATCTGTGACGTTTCACTCTCTCAAAAGAGAGCTGCCGGGGAGGAACTCTTGCAAAGTTCTTTTAAAATAAAAGCTCTCGCAAACTCTCGTGAAAACGTTTTTAATTGTGGTCTAAAAAATGGAAAAAGGTAGAAAGATATTTAGGCTTGATGCCAGTTTTTTCTAAAGGACATATTCAGGTAATCAATCAGGTATACAACGATTAGACAATAATGGTGATAGATTTGGCACAAAGTAAGAAAAGTACATATACTTATTTCACATGCTTTTATTCTATGATATTACAGTTTCAAAGGCAGGTAATGCAGTTTTCAGAATTCATCAGATAATCTCAATGATGCGTTAGAATTGGTGAGCTGTTTCAGTGGCAATGAAAACATTTACAGAAAAAGATGCAATGATCACAATCTGATAAAACAGTGTATACAACGCGCATCCCCTAAAACATATACATTTATAACATTAAAGGTCTCCTCCATGCTATTTGTAGGCATATATTGTGGGTCTCAGATATATAAAAAAATATAAAAACATGTCTATGATGTGTTTTGCTCAAAATACGAAACAGATCATGCATTTTAGAAATCCCTCATTTCCCTCTATTTCAGGCCTGTTACTAAAGAGCTGATTCTGGGTCCTTAGCTTGAAAAAAAAAACAAGAGGAGGGGGAGCTAATGCCTGCTCAGAATTACACGGCAGCTACAGTTCAGTTCTGCCGGGATTAAACTCCACATCATGTTCCAAACCACATCAAGGATCCTCTCTGAAACTGGATGGAGCTCAAACTCTTTCTCTCTCTCAGGTTTACCACAAGGTGAGTTCCTTTTGATTTCCTGCTTCTTCACACACACTCTCTCCAGTACAGGTTAGCTCCGAGTGTTAGCATGCTAATGTAAACAAAGACCATTTTACATACAAAACACATCGTTCATTGTTTCTGACAGCAATTTTCTGATAGGGCCGTTGGTGTAAAGCCCGCCCACATTTCAGATATTACGTCATATCGGACGCAAATCTAAATCAGATCCGTTGTTCCCCCGTTAGCCGTTTTTAGAGATGTGGGTACGGAGGAAAAGAGATAGGGTTTTATTTTCTGACACTTTGTGAGTCTCCTGACACACTGGGGACACACCGGGGACACACCGGGGACACACCGGGGGCAAATCTTTATGTATAACACACATCAAAAAGTGCATTTTGCATGATAGGAGACCTTTAAATTATATTGAACCTGATTTAAAATCAAATGGTCTAATGAGGTAATGCCTGCTCAGGATGATTGACAGGAGAGATGATCAGAGGGGCAGAGTTTTGACCACTTTGGTTGTTACAAGGATTAAAGAATGGATAGAGTTTCTCTTTGAAGCAGCAGCCAGTGAAGGAGTAGATCAGAGCTGCAGCATCAACATCATAAAAGGAGACCAGACCCTCCTCATAATCCACAAACACCCCCACCTTCTGAGGCTGAGACTTCAGAGAGAGACGGACCCCAGGACCAGCAAGAGCTTGGTACTCATTTCCATTCCTCAACCATATCGTCCAGTAACCTTTCGGAGGAGTCAGTGAGATCTTTCCCTTCCTGTTGATCGACTCCTTGGCCACTCCTAAATCCCAGTCAGTCTTCCCTTTGACCTGAACCTCGTAGTAGAATCTCCCTGAAGAGAAACTCTGCTTTGCAAAGACACAAGCCCAAGAATCAAATCTCTCTGGATTGTCTTGGAGATTCTTCTTCACATCACCACAGTTGACTTGTTTTCCATCATCAGACAGGACGAGGCTGGGATGAGCTGTATCAGAATCAAGAGTCACCTCCACCTCATACCGCTGGACCCTCTTCAGCTCGAGCAGCTTCTTCATCTGTTTCCTGAGCGTCTCCTCCAGCTGAGTCACAGCTCCCCTCACAGTCCCCTCATATGAAGGTGGACGGACCCTGACTTCTGTCCAGTTCTTGGTGGGTGGAGCAGCGCTCAGGGACGTGAAGCTTTGGAGGAGGTGGAGCTGGTCTTCAGAGCGTGAGAGCTGCTCCACCTCAGAGCTTCTCTTCTTCAGCTCAGAGACTTCCTGTTCCAGCTCTTTGATGAAACCTTCAGCCTGTTCCTCTGTCTCTCTCTGCTTCTCTTTGATGGTGTCCATGAGCTCGGCCTGGCTTCTCTCAACAGACTCCTTCAGAGCGACGAAGACCTGAACACCATCTGCTATCTCTCTGTCTGCTCCTTCCTTACTGAGCTCCACTGAGCGATTCATCTCCTGGATCTTCAGTCGTCTCTTCTGGATCATCTTCTGAATGTCAACCTCTGTCTTCCGCAGCTCAGCCTTCTTTCCTTCATATCCTTCTTTCAGAGGAACAACATCATGCATCTTGTGGTCTAAAACAGTGCAGAGCATGCAGACACACACCTGGTCGCTCTTACAGAACAGCTCCAGCAGTTTGTCGTGCTTCACACACGTCCTGCCTTCCAGGTTCTCCTCAGGGTAAATCAGCTGATGTCTTTTTAAGCCTGTGTTTTTCAGGTGAGGCTCCAGGTGAGTCTCACAGTAGGACTGCAGACACACCAGGCAGGACTTCAGGGCCTTCAGTCTGGTTCCAGTGCAGACGTCACAGGGAACTTCTCCTGGTTTGACAACGTGTTGCTCTGAGCTGCTGCTGCTGGCTTTCTGTTGAGCTGACCGTCTGAACTGAGCAGCCATCTCAGAGATGAACGTGTTGACGCGCAGCTCAGGCTTTATGTTGAACACCTCTTTGCAGTTGGGACACTGACACTGGACAGCAAAATCCCAGTGTTGAGAGATGCAGGCTTTACAGAAGTTGTGTCCACATGGTGTGCTGACTGGATCAGTGAACACATCCAGACAGATGGAGCACAGAAACTGATCTTCAGTCAGCAGACAGCTGGCAGCAGACATGTCTGTAAGAACACAATGGGTAAAAAAAAAAAACGTTTTAACAAAATGTAGTAAAAAATACGGTATGCATACTTAATGTAATAAAGCTGACACTAAAAGCTCACTGTTTGCTTTCAAAGTTAAATCACTTTACAGTTGAACCCAGCATTTCCGCCAGGCGGGCGTCTTGCTGTCCTTTGACGCCCTTATTCAGCTCGGAACGTCCTGAACTCGAGCTGAGGACGTCCACAAATAATAATAATTCGAGAGAAGATCGAGAGTTTTTATCGATTGAACTGAAGAAAAGTAAAAAGGAGGTGGAATTATTTTCGCCGCCAGCAAAGCGTGTTCCTGTGATGGAACAAAGTGTACTGCCGGCGAGCCTTAACGTTGGCTCTCAGCCCGAGCCTGCGTTGGCGCCATGCGTTAGCCTAGAGAGCGATCCTCCGCCAGCATTCCCGGCCAGTGCAGACGACCCGGAGCCGGAGTTGTCGTCATCTTGCATCCCACGGCCGGCGCAATTCAAAATTGTGTGCGTGTGCATACCTAAAGAGATTGTATCTATAAGGGACGGCTCAATTCAAAATTCAAGCCCCCCTAACGGTTACAAAGAGGTGTCAATCACCCAAATCGACCAATGGGTTCCAGAGGAAGGGCCTCCAAAATGCAGGTCTGCCTGGCAACTGCACAGCATTACGCTTTGTGGCCAAAAAGGGTATTGAGGTCTGGGTGATTTTTAAAAAAAGGTCAAAAACAGTTGTATTTGGATGGAATGAATACCTAAAGTGATATTTCAATTAAATAAAAATGAGTTTTACAGTGCGTTACCTGAGAAAGGTCAAATGGCACTGATGGTAACCAAATTTACCCAAAGGTGAGTCTGCCTGGACCTACCTGTGCTAAGCCTCTCTAAATAATGTCAAGTTTCACTACATTTGCATCTATCCTGACACAGGGTACTTATGATATATTGTGGTTTGGATCCCTAAAGGTTTTGGGCTACTATCCCATCATTAAAGGTTTCACTATAAATAATGTAGTCTGCAGCCAACTCACAGGTGTATCATTGCTTTGATAACAAGATTATTCATATGCCCCTTTTAGAAGTGAAGATATAGTCATTAATTGAATTGCCTGCGATAACTCTGTGGCCCATAAACAACACAAAACCACTTTTTGTTCTGTCACAGTAAAAGTCTATGGACTATTTTTGAAAGTCTAATGCTGCGTTCACACCGGACGCGATGCGATGTTTGGGGGCGGTGCAATTACATGTAAAGTCAATGCAGAGATGCGGACAGATGCGAATTAGCTCCGACGGCGAGCATGAAGCGGTTGATGCGAATGTTGCGGCGATTGAGGTGATTGGAGGGGTCCGCGATAACCGCTCGAGTTCAATTTTTTCAACTCGAGCGTCAAATTCCCGTGACGCGATCTCGCGGTAGCCAATCAGCGGTGAGGATCTCAGCCTGCCGTCACTGACGTAGAACCACAAAACCAAAACATCAGCCGTTAGCTCTTAGTACTCAGAGATCACAGCTCCTCATATCTGTTCAGAAACTTGACAAAAGTTAAACAAGTACAAACCACAGACTGTCTGTGTCATGGCGAATACAGTCGCTGCTTTATTTATGTCTGTATAGGCCGTTGTTGTGAGTGGGGACGGTCGGAGCATATACAACATTAGCTTAGCCAATCTCCATTTAGAAAACACATTTAAAAAAGGTTGTTCGCCTGCCGTCTGTCTGCAGACTTGTCAAAGCATTAATTCATGGTTTTTACTAACCGGTATCAGTATGTTGTTACTTCGGCATCATTTAGAAACGTGTATTACAATTAAATCACGGTAAAATATGTTCATTTTGTTGTAGTTGTAGCCCCCGAGCCAGCACGTCTTGTTTGAATGATGCGAGTAAACACAGCTGACAGCCGCGGTGAAACTCGAGCGTATAGAGCGATGCGATAAGAGCGATTAAAGCAAAGCGAAAATTCGCATCGCGTCCGGTGTGAACGCAGCATTATGCATCACAATATATGTAATCATAGCCTCTGATCCCTGCCTGCTACCAGTCACATATTATTCTGTATTTGAACAATATGTTACAGGGCCATATCTATACAAAACCTGTCTCTGAAGTGTTTTGCTCAAAATACCAAACAGATCACCCATTCTAGTCTCATCCCCCTCTATTTCAGCCCTGTTGCTAAAGTGCTGATTCTGAGTCAGTAGCTTTAGAAATTTTTTAAAATAGAGGAGAGTTCATGCAAGAGAATTCTCCCAGCAGAAACTCAGCTAAATGCTGGTGTGATGAAACTCCATATCATGTTCCAAACCACATCAAGGATTCTCTCTGAAACAGTATGGAGCTCAAACTCTTTCTCTCTCTCAGGTTTACCACAAGGTGACTTCCTTTTTACTTCCTGCTTCTTTACACATACTGGGTGTTTCTCAATCGCGAGGATGCTGGCTTGGTAGTCGCGTACTTCCAAGTCACTTCCTTCAGAAACGAAGCAAGTATGCTTCCAAGCCAGGGCTTCGGAAAACGAAGAAGAATGGAACAGGCTAACAAGTGTGCCACTCTCTCTAACGGTTTCAACATAAACTGTACCGAAAATAAATACCTCACGATGTCTATCTAATTATGAACTTGCTTTACTTTCAGGAACACATTTTTGGTGATAACAAATTTAACAAAGTCACATATTTACCAACACATGTTCTACGCCACTACATACTTACATTTAAATGTGTGCTGCGTCGGTTCAGCCATTCTCCGCAAGGGTTTTTGAAATTGGTCCGTGCGCAAAGCATTGTGGGGATTTTAAGGACGCAAAGTCTACCCATGTGCAGCCTCGACATTTCCCCCAAACCAAGGACGTGGCCTCGGTGGAATTCCAAGTATGCTGGACATTGGAACAGTCCTTCGGCGGCACTCGATGACGTAGCATCCTTGAAATATTGGCTTGGAAGCCAGTATCCTCGCGATTGAGAAACGGCCACTCTCTCCGGTACAGGTTAGCTCTGAGTGTTAGCATGCTAATGTAAACAGACCATATTACTTCCAGAAAACGTCTCATTGTTTCTGACAGCAACGTTTCTGATTGGCCCGTGGGTCTAAAGCCCGCCCACATTTTAGTAATGTCGTCATGACGCAGCAAATCTGGATCAGCTCCGTTGTTCCCCGTTTTTAGAGATGTGGGTACGGAGGAAAAGAGAGAGGGGTTTATTTCTGACACTTTGAGAGTCTCCTGACACACCGGGGACACACCGGGGACACACCGGGGACACACCGGGACACACCAGGGACACATAGTTATGTATAAAAGACATACAAAAGTGCATTTTACATGATAGGAGACCTTTAAATGACTGCAGCATGTGTATTAGCTGCCTGTTAGTTATTCAAAGAGAAGAAACTCCCTCCGGAGGGAACACGTGGATTTGAGCCTTTGCAGACCATTGACATGCACAGAAACCTATAGAACCCAACAGGAAAGCATAACAGGGCTTCTTAAAGAGTTACCCTGAGAGGAATTCCTTAGGTTTTGAGTTTATACCTGATGTTGAAACATTGTCAATTATCAGCTTTGCTGCTGGTGGCAGAAATTATAATTCCCTTCAGAGAAACTGATAAATGAGTCATGTAGAAAGTTCCTCTTTTGTTATATTGAACAAAGTAATAAAGAAAGTCAAATACGATCTAAAATGCAGGAACAGAGCAACTTCATCCTCAGAGGATAAGAGGGTCTGCACCCCGAACATAGCTCACATTCCCACTACGTAAAAGAAACAAAACTGTCTACTTATCCTACCCATACATTATGTTAGACATTCTCTAAAAATTCCCACCACTACATCATAACACTTCCCAGTCCTTAACCATTTGTAAATCCACCTTTTACCCCACATTGATATTAAAAAAAGAAAAAGACAGACAGCAGTAACTACAGTGAAGTTGATAAAAAAGGGTTATAAGATCAGGGCTGCTGAGCAAAGTGTATAACAGTTAAATAAGTTGTACAATGTCAATGTTGTGCCTTCACAGACTACACAAAGAGAGACCTCCCAAACAACCTGAGCTAGGCTAGTTAGCTGTTAGCACGCCTGGGCTAACTGCAGTTCCTACAGTTCTTTGTCTCATGTTGAGTGAGGCGTTGTGTCTGCAGTGAACTCACTGAGTTTGCAGAGGTTCTGCTGTGTTGTTGAGAAGAAGCTGCTGGATTCAGTTGTTTCTTCAGAGAAACAGACGCGGTCTGGACTGCAGCTCTGCTCACACTAACTTTCACTTTCGTTTCTGTGAAGTTGAAGCTCTCGTGTTTCAGTGTTGCTCCTCCTCTCAGTGCAGCTCTGTGAGTGAGGGTGTATCACTCAATGGGGAGGGCATTAAAGGGGACCTATCATGCAAAATGCACTTTTTGGTGTCTTTTATACAAAAATATGTTCCCGGTGTGTCCCCGGTGTGTCAGGAGACTCACAAAGTGTCAGAAAATAAAACCCTCTCTCTTTTCCTCCGTACCCACATCTCTAAAAACGGGGGAACAACGGAGCTGATCCAGATTTGTGTCCCTAATATCAGAAATGTGGACCCACGGCACCAGGCCCGCCCCTCCCTACACGCAGATCACGCAGACTGCGTGGGGCCTCATCTGACGCACAAATGCAGCACCCATTCAGCTTATGCAGAAATGTCACATCTGCCACAGTTTCCCACGCGTGCTCCACTAACCCACGCCTCCATGTGGAGACCAGAAGTCCCTTTGCTCAGGAAGGAGCCAGTCCTTGAGTCTGGCGCCTTAGACCGCTCGGCCATCCTGACACAAAAATCTGCATTATTATTCCAATCTTTATTCCAGACTCAAGGTCCATATCACACAAAAAGACAAAACACACATCAATAAATAAGATAAAAAGCTAAACACAAAACAGATAAAAACAAACAGATAAAAGCATAAAATCAGTCCAATCACAGCGAGCCACACATGCTCACTGTCTGTAGAGGCTGTTGCGCCAAGGTCTCCAAATCATGGAAGAGAACCGAGTAGAACTCTTCACAGGGTTAATTAAAATCGAAATAACATAATTGTCCGAGTCTACTAGGCGACACATGAATTTGTACATTCATTTTCTTAAAAGGGCTTGACAGGTAGATGCCCCCAAGTTAACAAACAGCTGGCTGGCACTGTGCAGTCTTGGTACCCTCAGCAGCAACCGTAAAGCATCATTGTATGCAACTTTTAGTTTTTGCATGCTTCTAGCCTTGTAGTTACTCCACAGGTGAGCCGTGTAGTTACTCCACAGGTGAGCCGTGTAGTTACTCCACAGGTGAGCCGTGTAGTTACTCCACAGGTGAGCCTTGTAGTTACTCCACAGGTGAGCCTTGTAGTTACTCCACAGGTGAGCCGTGTAGTTACTCCACAGGTGAGCCGTGTAGTTACTCCACAGGTGAGCCGTGTAGTTACTCCACAGGTGAGCCTTGTAGTTACTCCACAGGTGAGCCTTGTAGTTACTCCACTGGTGAGCCGTGTAGTTACTCCACAGGTGAGCCGTGTAGTTACTCCACAGGTGAGCCGTGTAGTTACTCCACAGGTGAGCCGTGTACAATGGTGTACAGAAAGCTTTAAAAAGTGATACCTTGACATCTACAGAGCACTTGTGAAACTTACGCATTAATATGTTTGCCTGGGCATACAGTTTGCAGCGTTGTCTATGGATGTCTTTGTCATCTGTGAGATCATCAGAAATATAATGACCAAGGTACTTGATCTCACTGCACACAAGAAGAATGTTGCTACTGAGAATAAAATGAGGAAATACAGCCTTTTTATCCTCTTTACTTCGTACAATCATGATGTTACTCTTCTTGGCGTTATACTTAATATTAAAATCAATTCCATACTGGGAACAAGTCCTCAGAAGCTGCTGTAAGCCAGCACTGCACGGGGAAAAGATGATTAAATCATCTGCGTAAGGTGGTTGACAACAGTAGCACCGATGACACAGCCAGTTTTACACAAGTTCAGTTTCCTCGACAGATCATCCATGTACAGATGAAACAACAAAGGAGATCAAATCCCACCTTGCTTGACCCCATTACCAACATCAACATGTTCAGACACAGTATGGCCCCACTTCACCTCATAGTCTGATGTGCATACCAAAAGGCTAAGATCCTTATTATGTACTTGGGTTCCGCTCTCTGGCACATTTTGTCAAATAATTTGTAATGATTCAGTCGATCAAATGCCTTGGAAGCATCAATAAAACACAGAAACAAGGTGGAATTATGGCTTCTATATTTTGCTATAATGTCTTTTAAAGCAAAAATACACATATCTGTGCCGTGTTTTCTTTTCAAACCGAACTGGTTGTCAGCAGTGATAATATACCTTTCCAGCCTATCCAACAGAATTTTCTCCAACACTTTGGAGAGAATGCTAGCTAAAGCAATGGGTCTGTAATTATCAATGCCATTAATCTTCCCAGCTTTATCCTTGATGACTGGCACAAGTAGCACAGATAACATGGAATTTGGTAAGACACCATGATTAAGGAAACCAGTAGAGCAAGAAGAGGAGCAAGCCTAAGACTGGCATGTTTTAAGTGTTCAGCTGAGATGAGATCCGGGCCACAAGCTTTGTTATTTTCTAGATTCATTATAGTGTTGTAGACTTCCTCTGATCTAACTGTAACATTTTCAGTGGAGTCAACCTTTTCAACCACAAATGCATCACTCTTAACACAGTTGAACAACTCATAATAGTGTTGTCGCCACAGTTCTGCGATGCTGCCTGACCCACACACTCCTTCAATGGAAGACGGTAAGGGAGTCTTACAGCTGTTTATGACTTTCACCTCTTTCCAGAAATCAGAGCAACTATTGTTGCGCAGCTTTCTGGCAAGTGAGTCAGCCCTCATTGTGTCCTCTTTTTTTTTAATGAAGCGGACAGCATACTTATATTTGGCATTAGTGGACTGTTTATGTTCAAACAAAGACCCCTGTCTCGGCCTTCCTGATTCGGCCCAGAATTTAAAAGCATCTCTAGCAGCAGAGTGTAGCTCAGACACATGTTCATTCCATCCAGGTTTTATACTATGCTCCTTTTTCTTACCGTTGTAAAAACCCTTACTTGAAGCATTTAACACATCAATAATAAGATCATATGTAGAACATAGATCACTACCATGCTGCACATTTTTACAGTTGGTGTCACTGCACAGCATTGCTTCTCTAGGAATTACAACCAAGTCTAATGATTTGTCAGTGAGTGAGGTATAGTGATTAATATTCTTCTCACTTAACTTTGACCAATCCAGCCTCCCTGTGTATGTGTTATTGTCATCAACAGATAGCACCGGAATATTTTCAACATTTAGGGTCAATACAAAAGGAATGTGATCTGTAGTGGCCAACTCATAACAAATGTCAATGTTGTCCAGAGAAGCATGTGCATCAGCTGTGCATATACAGTGATCTAGCCATGACACAGTATGCCATGCTTCACTAATATATGTAAAGCTTTTCTCAGGTAAAAGAGATTTACTTGACAGTATGAGATTATTATCGTTACAAAAATGCAGTAAACATTTGCCAAACAGAGATTTATCATCCGAAATGTCAGCATTCAAGTCCCCCACTACATACACACAGGTTGTGGCATTATCCTTAATGTATGCGTTAACAAATGCCATTCTATTGCGATATTCATCTTCATTTTCATATGATTCATAAGGTGTGTAAATATTTACGATAATAAATGACCTATTTTCATACTTGATCTCTATACCAATGGCCCAGTCGACGTCCAATCTTACCACTGTAACCAAAGGATCATATTTACTGTTCCAGAGAATCGCCACACCACCAGGTATCCTGCCATGGGCAATTTTATCACAGAGATCAGTCGTTGATTCTCCAACTCCATGAAAATTAGCATGTAGTGTATTCAGCCTTTCCAAATCTTGCTTAGGTAACCATGTCTCTTGTAAGCACAGAATATCACATTCCTCCAACAGTTTATCAACAACCAGCCGCCTCGCTTTATCACCAGCACTGTGCCCCACACGTAGGCCACGTGTGTTATATGACACCACCCGCATCCAATTGTTTATGTACTATCGTCATTTACATCAGCAGATGCAGAATTCCCGTGTTGTACAGTAGCGACCACATTGTTTGTAGTAGTGCTATCCCCCACAAGCACCCCACTAGCAGGCCGTCTTGGCTCATAATAGCGTCGGACATAGGTGCCAGCTGGCCACAGCTCTGGGTCATACATTTCTGCCACTTCCTTGCATTCGGCAGTGACGTGAAATGAGCTGAACCTACTCTGTGCCGACTCGATCTTCCGACAAGTAACTGCTTGGCCAAGTTTCTCACTCAGATACTCAGTTAGCATGTTAGCTTCCAGTTGAGGGGCAAACTTAGTGGCAAACACACTCACCATCTTTGTGATGACAACTTGTACGTTAGAACTCACTGGGCCAGTTCCAACTATACCCGTTTTCTTCCTCTCCCGTTTCAGTGGCGCTTGAATTCCCCGTTGTCTTGCTGCTGGCTTATGCACAGGTGTCACCTTGCTTCTGTGTCCTTCTTTCACAACACGGGACCACAAAGGAGACTTTGGTGGCTGTGGTGTAGACACGGATCCCACAGAGCTGCTGGAGCCTCCTCCAGCCACTGTTACCTCCTGGTCAGCGCACACACAGCTGCTGGCCGCGCTTGATTGCATGGCCTCACATACCCCGCCCCTGGGACCACGCCAGTAGATCCACAGGGCTTCTCAATTGCGGACACCCGGTCATCGATGGCCATGGTCGTCACTCGCAGACCCTCGCAGGCATCAGTTTGAGCATCGAGCGTTTTTTTCACACAGCACATGTCCTTATTCAGCTGTTCCAACCGCCCCAGCAATGCTGAGACATCAATGTGGTCGTATGAAACTGGTGGGAGGTCATCCAGATAGTGGGAGACGAATCTTGGTATATTCTCCCCACATTCATTTAGCACATTCAAGCACGCTTTTATATTGTTAGTGTCTTTCTGTGCTCCTTTGTGTGTAACACAGCGCTGCGTCGTTTGAGGACACAGCTCAAACAGTATATTCTTCGAGGCTTCGATCCACTCAGAGTTGAAATTGTTTGAGGCCAATAAAACAATGTCATCATGATTCAGAGTTTTCATTTTGATGACAAGGAAGTTCAAAAGTTCGTCTTCCACAATCACCTTATTATCAGTTGTTCGGTAAACTTCTGATTTAGTATGACCGGAGAAGCTGGCACCCCCACGCCAAGCTGCTGCCGCTGCTGCCGCCATCACACCATTGATAATGGTA